TGATAAAGGGCAGCCATTTCTCCTGGCATTGTTGATTTACGCAGGAGGAGAAACCGTAAGGATGTGGGAGTTTGCCGCTTTTTATTATGATTGGTGCAATAAAGGCGACCCCCGGTTCCAGCACATTCTTCGGGTTCCAGAGATTTGTATATGCAAATTTTAAGGCTGTTGAGCTTCCCTGAGAAGGCTTGATGGATGTTTCACTGAGCTCAGCTTAAAGTAGACCTCGCAGCGGAAGGACAGAAGCGTTGTGCCTCCTAAGTGTGTCCAAGAAATCAGGAGTGAAATCACATGCAAAGGTTCTGTCCGCAGTTCCTACCCAGGGAGGGTGAAGGATATTTAGGGGGGAAAAATCTCCGTTCTCATCAGATCCCTTGAATTTAAGCAGACGTCATGACGAGGAACTTTCAAGCCCTGTAAGATTCTCATTTTCCAGGGAGAGCAGGACGAGGGGGTCCCTTTGCCCCCCAACACCTCTCAAGGCCTCGGTCATTTGTGCAGTTTGGTTCTGCACAAAACGAGGGTTTGAGAAACAGCTTAAACACACACAGCTACACACCCAAGGTAACAAGAGTTTCTTCCCCCCCACACACTAGAGAGCTAGGACTAGTGTTACTGTGCACCTCTAATTGCTTACCATCATCATCATCATCATCATCATCATCATCATCATCATCATCATCATCATCATCATAAGTGAATTGTCAAGTGAATTATGATGTACAGTGACCCTTTTCAAGGTTTCCTGGGTAGAAAGTACTCCGAAGTGTATTACCCTTCCCTTCCTCTAGGGGCACCCTAGGACTGTGCAGCTGGCCCAAGGCCACCCAGGCTGGCTCTTCTCTCGCAAGAGGCATGCAGTGGGGGAATCAAACTCCCAATCTATAGCTCCATGGGCAGGATAAAGGCACCTCCGGACTGCGTATACATGGGTTTTCTTGGGTGTCCTGTTCCCTTTCTGTTTGTGATGGACAGGACTTTAGCCTAGCTCTGGGACTGGGGTTGTGTTGTTATCCGGTGGTTGTTGGAGTGCATCGACCCTAGCTGGCATAACCACTGATGGAGGATCATGGAGCATCATATATATACTCAAAAAAGGGAAACCCTGCCATCTTTCATGGCCCAGTCTTACCTATCTTTGCTCTCTCTCTCTGTCTCTCTTTGTTCTCCATTCCTTTTTGGCTTCCTCAAACCTTCCTGTCCTTTGCTAAATTACTTTCGGCCCCCTTTTGCCTCTTTCTTTCCCTCCTTCCTGTCTTTTATTCCCCCACCCACCCCTCTCTCCCTGATCTCCCCTTCCCTCTTTTTTCTCCCCTCCCCACTGGGTTTTACAGCTGCTGTGCCGCCAGCAGGCATTTCTTAAGCCAACGGTGCCGTACTCAACGGTCGGGGGTCTCACCGCTCGGTTACCATTGTCGAGGCGGCCGTGAATGCTGGCCTTGTTCTCCTGATGCCTCTGGAGTGTATAAACAGCACTTCAAGGAAGCCCCAGCCCTGTTCTGTGGGCACAGCCTGCCAGCACATTTTCCCTCTGAGAAGCAGCAAAGCGAGGGCCTGAACAGTAACTGCACTCATCCCCTCGCTCGCTGAAATTCACTCTGCAAGGGGAAAGTTTTTATTTGATTCTTGGCACACAATCGCAGATAGATCACAAGCTCGGCCTCCCTAGCCTGGATGTGTTTGTGGAGATATTCAAAGCCATGAATGACCCTCATTTGTGCTCTCCTCCCCTGTTGGCTTCCTCTAGCCAAGAGAATCGGGATGCAGTCTGAGCTGTGCCATAAAGATCGGACTGAAACCCCAAGCGGAATCACCACTGTGCAATCACCATCTTCAAGTCTCTGAGCCCAGTTCTAAATTTAAGATAGAACCACCCTTCCTTTCCAATCATCCAACCCCCAACAGAAAGACGACGAAGAATTTTTCAATCTAAAATGGAAAAAAAAATCCCCAAACCCTTAGTAAAGAATTATTTTAAATACAAGAAAGTTTTTTTTTCCTGGCGAATAAAAGTGTGGTTTACCCTAAGAAATAGGAAAATGCCATGAATTCAGTGATTTAAAAAAAAAAGAGAGTTTTCTCAAAAATAAAAATACCACAGGCTCATGTCCCTCCCCCTTTGATTTTTAAAATTTCCTCCCTTTTTTGGAAATCTGATCTTGCTTTCCCTGGAGATAATGGTGGCTAATCTTGGATACCAAACGTGTGCTTCACAACCGAACCATAGGTCCTTGCAAACAGTAATACTTTGCAAACTATAATTATAAAAAATATAATAAACAAACAAACAGGTGGCACGAGAGTTCAACTGCCAAAAATACCCAGTCCTGCACATCTTTAAACATGCAGTAAAACAAATCACGGTTTTAGAGCTGCTTATTGAGAGAAGCCTGTTTTATAGGCCTTGATGCATGGGGGTGGGGGGGTTCAGAGGCAGGTTTTCACCTTGTTTCTCATTCCACCAACCATATCATGTGGCAGGTCAAAGCAATTAAGCTGATGGTAATGTGGGAACCGATGCTCAGATTCCCAGAGAAGGCAGGTTGACCTTTCCACTGCCCCTGACTTCAAATAACTTTGTTCCAGTGTGCAAAAATATATATATATGGGTTCGCTTTCCACGCTGATGGTGATCTAAGTCACATTAACAATCGCAGACCCAGAGCCAAAGGGGAAAAAAAATCCTTAAACACCCAAGTCATGAATGTCGAGAATGCTGTTTACTTGTGAATTTCCCAGCCCGCTTTTCCTCCATTGAGTTTCAGGTAGTTTACAAAGCTGTTCTCCCTTGCCTCACCGTACCCCAGCTGAGGCGGGTCACCCGACTGCACCCCAACCCAGATGAGGATGCTGATGCAAGCGCCGGTTCTGGACACCGTGCTTTAAGAAGGACGCTGACAGACTGGAACAAGTTCATGCCGGTTCTGGACGCCGTGTTTTAAGAAGGACGCTGACAAACTGGAACAAGTTCAGTCAATGGAGGGCAGCATGGATGATCAGGCAAACCAAGCTATTTGAGGAGAGACTGAATGAACCAGACATGTTTACAGTCAATGGAGGGCAACATGGATGATCGGGCAAACCAAGCTCTTTCAGGAGAGACTGAATGAACCAGACATGTTTACGCTCGAGAAAGGAAGCCAAAGGGGAAAGATGATAGCTGTTGTTATGGAGACCCTATGAATGAGCACTCTCCTAAATGTCCTGTCCTCAGCAACCCTGCTCAACTCTTCAAGGTTCAAGCCTGTGGCTTCCCTGAGGGAGTCAGCCCATCTCGTATTGGGTCTTCCTCTTTTCCTGCTGCCTTCCACTTTTCCTAGCATTATTGTCTTTTCTAGAGAATCCTACCTTCTCAGGATGTGCCCAAAGTAGGACAGCTTCAGTTTTGACTTCTTTGCCTCCAGAGATAGTTCAGGCTTGATTTGCATCTAAGGCCCACTTGTTTGCCTTTCTGGTAATCCAGGCCATCCTCAGTGCTCTCCTCCAGCACCACATTTCACACGAATCAATTTTTCTCTGTGTCAGCTTTCTTCACTGTCCAAGCTTTCGCACCCATACATGATGATCAGAAATACAAGTGTGTGGTGTGTGGATCGTCTTGGTCTCCAATGACACATCCAGACGGTGGATGATCTTTTCTAATTTCTTCATTGCTGCCCTTCTGAGTCTCAGCCTCTTTCTGATTTTTTGGCTGTATTCACTATGTGAATAGATGATTGAACCAACCAACATAGACAAATTCCCTATTTCAATTTCTTCATTTACTGTGTTAAAGTTGTGCAGTTCTTCTGTCATCTTGTCCTTTTTTTAATGGGCAGAGAGAAGGTAGCTGTGTTACGCTGTCGTGGCGAAACCAACCAAGAGTCTTCTGACATCTTCCCACCTGAAATTCATCTGATCCCTTCACTGGGGATTTTCACAAGACATCTTAAAACATGGATATATAGACAGATGTTTCCCAGACCTTACATCTACAGTGTGCAGTGATCAACTTAACTCTCCAATTCCATTCTTTTGCTTTTATTCATTGTTTTTGTATTGCTGTTCCTTTCCCAGACCTTACATTGTGCAGTGATCAACTCAACACTGAAGTCTCCAATTCCATTTTCTAGCTTTTATTCATTGTTTTTGTATTGCTGTTGATTTAGCTAATTGATGATAACGTTTATTTTAATTTAGAGTAGTTGTTACATTTACGTAATTAGGATTTAATGTTTGTTCTTTTTGTTGTGAACCGCTCAAAGTGGCCCGGGTAGCTAGAGGGAAGACAGATACATTGAACGAGTGAGCGAATGGGTTCGAATGAACAAATGAGCGAACAAGCAAGTTTGAACGAACAAACAAATGAACAAGCAAACGAGTTCCCTTTGGCGGTAGCTTTCATGGGGTGCAACATCAAAATCCTATGCCAAACATGTTTGCTTTTAAGCAGTGGTGGGATTCAGCAGGCCAACAAACGGTTCTGCAGAACCAATAATACATTTGCTACCGGTTCTGTAGAACTGGTGCGAACCTGCTGAATCCCACCACTGCTTTTAAGGCTTCACAAAACTTGTTCTTTTGGCTGCTTTGTCTTGCTTCCTTTTTTTTCCCTGGACTACATCTCCCAGAATTCCATAGCCCTGAGAAAGAGACAGAGACAGAGAGAGAGGGATTCATCTGTCTCTGTTTTGGGGTAGATATCTGTTTAGCATCAAGAAGTCCTGTTCACCAAGGAGTTAAGTGCCCTTTCTCCTCATGAAGTGGGAAAGGGGCTTGGTGAATATTCGAGACACGAATATGCCCTTCCTTGCCATCATTACCCTCCCCAAACTCAAGTGGTTCATCTAGAAAACAGTAGTAATTCTCCCCCCCCTCCCACTCCCAGCTGCCAATAAATTGATCAGTATGCAACACATTCATTCCTGGCTGAATCATGGGCCACGGTTAAGGTAAACAGAGCCCTGGTGACACTTTCTAAGCAGAATGCCAACACGGCGATATTTCTCCCTGACATTTCTTTGGAGTGTCTCTTCAAGGGAGGTTCGGCCCCTGGGACGAAAAGACACCTTCCGGGAGCTCACGTCCACGAAGGTGGGAGATGTTGTGGATGAACCTGGGCTCTTGCAGAAAGATTGTTGTAAGGGGATTTAATGTGTGTGTGTGTCTGTGTGTGTGTCTGTTTCTGTGTGTGTGTGTATGTGTGTGTGTGTGTAAAAGAGGAACAGGAGATTTGCTGTAACCTCTCTGTTGATGTGAAGATTTTTTAAAAAAGGTTTCTGCATAAATATGCCAGTGCTGCAAAGACGTCCAGCCTTTGTTTTGTTACTGGGTCGTACTTATTTTCTTATTAATGATCCGTTACCACTAGGTAACCAAGGGCTGATTAATTTTGCAATGAATTTTGGTAACAGATGTTTTTTTAAAAAATGTCACTGGACGTTTTTGGTGAACCTTCCATTTTAATGATGACTTTGCTCCTAGGTTCTAAGATGATGTGATATTTTCTTTTTCCTTCGCTAGCCCATTCTTTGCAAACCATTTTGTATCCCATTGTAAAAGTCCTTCATAGGCTTTCTTGTGGTGTGGAGGGCTTCAGATCTATAACATGGCAAGGTTCAACCTATGGCCCATCTTCTTTTTTTAAAAAAAAAGCCATGTTTCCCCTCCTTGCCATGAATAAGAAGGGAATGGGAAGCGACTTCTGAGTATTCTCTACCCAGAAAACCCTGAACCCATAAGTCGGAATGGACTTGACAGCACATTATTGTTAATTTATTTATTTATTCAATTTTTAATTCTGCCGATCCAGTGAAAGGCCACTTATTGCCCTGGGTGGTTTACGACAAAGTAAAAAATGGAAAAGCCCAACCAACAATGATAATGATGATAAGGTGGGAAATGTAATTTGCGCACACAGGTCTTTACACACAAAAATGGTTTGGGTTTTTTTGCATTGATATTGGACTATTCTTCCAATGAGTTCAAGGTGGTAGACTTGGGTATTCTCACTTTATTTTCACAACAGCCATGCGAGGTAGACCACAGCTTGACTCTTGCTGGTTCCATGGTGCTGGCAGGAATCCCCCTTTCTTCTTGGCTCAGCTGATGTTTTGCTTCTTGTCTCTGTTCCAGAGATGGCATCGGACATACCCGGCTCGGTGACGTTGCCTGTGGCACCGATGGCTGCAGGGCAGGTGCGCATGGCCGGATCCATGCCTGCTCGAGGAGGAAAGAGACGGTCAGGGTAAGCTGAGCTTGTAACTTGGAAGCAAACTTGAATTGCCATTTCTACTCTTCATCTTGCAGAGCCTGGAAGTAACTTGTTACAAGTAACTTATAATCAGTCTCCAGTTTTGTTCTGTTTTTGGGAAAGGTTTAGTGTGTTTCACTCCATGTTCTGGCACTTCATTAGGTAATGCTGCCTTAACATGAAAAGTAACTGAAGTCATTCCTCTAGTTCCTTTTGTTGAGAAAGGCGGGGAAGTTACTGCAAGCTTTACTGTTAAAGGGAAGGATGTGAATGTGCAAATAAACCAGAAAATAAACAAAGAAAGAAGGGAATTCCTTTAGCCAAGCTACAGCTGGCCTTAGTAATTTGCACCACGAGGGATGTTTGTTTAACGACTTTGGAAATCCTCACAGTAGCGCAGATGTGATAAAGCGCCATTGCAAAGGGGAGCTAATTGGCCAGGCTTGAAACGATGACGCCTTTAAATTATTTGTTAATGTGTTAAACAAATCAGTTATCAAATTTCCAAATAGCTGTTTGATTTGCTGACAAGGACCATTGCAAGGTGGTGTAAGAAAAATAATTAAACTAGCTGCCTTGGGTGTTAAAAAAAAGAGGGATTTTACAGCTGCCGCTTAAGAAAACTAATGAATACGGAGGGCAAAAAATGTTGGATGGTATGGGATTGCTAGGACCGACAGACTGAATCTGTGAGGTTGGAAATCCACCACACTAGAGCACTCCATAAGTGGTGAATTCTATCATCTAAAGTCCAGCATCTCAGTTCTGTGACCCATATGGCCCCATCCCACAGGATACAGAGCTCTGTCATTTGGTGTGGTTCTCTCCAAAAGTTCTTGCTTAGGTGGCCACCCCTCACCTGAGTGAAAATTATTGCAGTGCTTTGAATTTCTGGTATACAGTAGAAGTCCAGAGACCCACAGAGGAGGATGACCAGAGGTTCTCTTTGAATTCAAAGGCTGGAAGGAACAATCGGTTAGTGCTGGATAGATAGACAAGCACCCCAGCCCAGAAAAGCCCCTTTCTGTTATTCACTGCTCTCACTCAATATCTGCCCTGAATCCTTATTAATTAGCCACAATTTGCCATAGCAAGTTATACAGTGGTACCTCGCTAAACGATGACCCCGCTAAACGATGAATCCGCAGAACGATGACTTTTTGTGATCACTAGAGTGATTCGCAAACCGGTCATTCCAATGGGGGATTTTCGCTGGATGTCAATTAGGTCCATGCTTCGCAAACCGTTTGTTCGCGAGACGATTATTTTTTCGGCTTCGCAAAATGGCTGCCCTGTGTTTTCCCCACCCATGCTTCGCAGGGCAGCCATTTTTACAGCTGATCGGCGCTTGCAAAATGGCTTCTCTATGGGCGATCTTTGCTGGACGACGAGGTATTTTCCCCATTGGAATGTATTAAACCGGGTTTCAATGCATTCCAATGGGGAAAGGTTTTCGCATGACGACGATTTTCTAAACAACGATTTTCACGGGATGGATTATCATTGTCATGCGGGGCACCACTGTACAAACTTTACACAAATTCTGATAGGATTTGGGCTACTATTTCCCACCCCTTTGTTTATCCCTAACAAATAAGATACATGGAAACCGAAACAGTTTTGCGGAGGAGGCAGAAGGTAAGATGGGGTTCAAGAGGTAAACAGCTGATTTTCCTTGGTTGGAATGTTGTGGCCGTGATGGCGGAAGACCTGCAGGAAGTGGATGGCTCTGAGTGACCGTGGAATATATGGGTCTGCTTAGGAGTTAAAAGAGGGGAATTGGGTTCACTTACTAGCCAGCTAAACTGACCACTAGAGGTCGCTGTTTCTCCACCAGTCTATGAGTCTAAGACCCATGGAAAAAATATATCAAGGGATTCTGAATAAATGTGGGAAATCCTGAAGGACATATCATCCTGCCCTCTCCTCTGACTACAGTAGTGACCGTGTTTGGAAAAGTTACTGGATGATGTTGGTTGGGGGATGCTAGGCGTTATAGTCCAAAAACGGTGACAAGTGGTGGCCGTAGGTGGCCATAACGTCAACGGCATTGAACATGTTGAAGTTACGTAGATGAAAAATCAATGTAACATAGGACTTTAAGACCAGGACGGGAAAGGGGAGCCTTACTGATGTTGCTTGACTACAAAGCCCATGTCCCCATCATCCTTGGCCCTGTGGGCTATGGATGTTGGGAAGTACAGTCTGTGCAACATCTGGAAGGTCACCCCTTCCTCAATCCTGGCTGACGTTTGCACGTGCTTCTCCTACTCCCTTGCGCCCTCACGGCTATCGAAAACAACCTCAAAGCATTCTGGGAAAATCCTTGTGAATATTCTTTCCTTCTTTAGGATCCAAAGGAGGTGACCGAGGTAGGCTATTTTGAAATGATTTTTTTAAAAAAGGATTCTTAATATTTCCTTTGTTTCTGTGACGAGAGATGAAGGTGTAGACCAGAATATGTTTGTCATTATCAGAGAGAGATGCCTCAGGGTGCCCAGATATCTCTGATGTACAGATCCCATCAGCTATAGCACACCTCATGGTGAAGGCTTATGGGAATTGTAGCTCAAAAGCTTCTGATGGTCACAGTTCATAGAAACGTAGAATCATGGAGTTGGCAGGGGTCTATAAGGCCATCCAGTCCAACCCCCTGCTCAAGGCAGGAACCCAAATCAAAGCAGATCTGACCGAGGGTTGCCTAATTTTCTCTTGAAGGCCTCCAGTGTTGGAGCCCTCACCACCTCCTGAGGCCATGAGTTCCATTTTTATACTGCTCTAAATAGGTAGAAAGCATTTCCTGATATTCCATCTAAATCTGGCTTCTCGTAGCTTGAGCCCCATGGTTGGGTGTCCTGCACTCTGGGATGATCGAGAACAGATCCTGCCTCTCCTCTGTAGGACTGAGCGCCTTTCAAATATTTAAAAAAATGCTATCCTATCTCCCCTCACTGTGTGTCTTTTCTCATAGCAATGTGAAAATGGAAGGGACCCCAAGACAGCCCCCTTGGTAGTGGCAGAAATCTGCAGTTGAACCAACATGGACAGTGGACTCCCAACCTCTGTCTAAACACCTCCGATAGAGGAGACCCCATCATCTGCATAGATGCTGCTAGGAATTGTATCCCAAAAGCACTTCTCCAGGTCTCAAAGAAACCTAAGGGCAAACAGACTTGGTGGGAATCAGATGGCAGATACAGTCAAGAAATTATGGTGTCCAGGAGATATGGACCAGCTGGATTCCAGTGGCCTCTGCTTCCTTTCTAAAGGGGCTGCTTGGGAAAACCAAGGATCCTCATAGAAGGCAGGTCAGAGGAGGGGTTTGGTTATGTGGGAGGTGAGGAGACCAGGATCCTCTAAGATGTGGGTGGATGCCACCTCCAACTTTGGTCCATCCTGGTGGAGACCGATGGGAGTCCAGCAACATCTCTTTCCCTATGAGGTTCCTCACCCCTGTTTTGAAGGATCCTACAGTGTCTGTTTCAAATGAAGCTGTGGAAAATGAAGGGTGTGTGGATAAGGGCTGTTGATATCATCTTAGCCAGATGTTGGAAACTTGAAAAAAAGAGAGAGTAGCAATAGCCTTTAAAAAAAGAAACAGGGAAAACAAACTCACTACAAGGCAGTGGTTCTTTCTTTAAATCAAATTACCTTATTTAAAAAAATTAACATTTTTTCAGAATGGACTTTGATGACGAAGATGGGGAAGGGCCCAGCAAATTTTCAAGGTAAGTTTGAGAAAAAGACGGAAACCACGTGGAAGATGCAAAACCAATTCAGGAGAACTGCTGTGTCAAGATGCTGCTTGCCATTGATTCTCATTTAATGGTAGCGCCATCAAAAAAACGAGGAGTCTAGTGATGAAGGCGATGGGTTTTAATTAATGATGGGCACAAATTGCCTTAAGTTGTGGTTCGTGCTGGTTCGAAAAACGAACCACCACTTTGGCGGCTCACAGCCATTTCTAATTTTAATATATCAGTTCTGCATAGAGTTCTGTGGGGAAAAGGCAATCATTCTAAAGAAAAAAGCATCCTTCGGCTAATAGTAAACTTACACTGCACTTCACTTGGAAATATAGGTTGCTAGTGGAGTCTGGAGCCCCAGTGAAAAATGGAAAAAAAATAAGGAAGACGTTTGCAGGATATATTTGTTGGTGATACATGGAAACGCCTATGAAAGAGGGGTTCCAAATATCTTCTACACCAGGGCAGATGCTTCTTTCTGAAGCTGCCATGGTGCTTTATATATATTTTTAAATTATACAAATTACTTACTGCAGGATGAATCAGGAGGATGCAAGTGCCAATTTGAGTTGATCAAAACGATCTTAAATCTGTTGATGGAGTATCAAGCGCTTCAGGATTGCAGCCCTATTTTTAGTATGTTTCTCGTATCAGAGAATTTATGCTTGGCTGTTCCACGGCCAAGATGGAAGAGCTCAAGGCAATAGATGGATGTTGTGCTAGAATAATTTTTCTCGGTGTTGGCAAGCCCCGGGTGCTGGAATATATGGGGCTGTTCAGGGACGTGAGATGGAATGAACAGGGTGTATCCTATAAAATGTCAAAATCTGCAGGCTTTTATTGCTGCAGTTTTGTGGTACGTTCCTCCCAGAGCTTGGGGTCAGAGGATCCTCTTGAAATAAAAGGAAGGGTAAATCATTATCGGTAGGAGGAGCAGCTTCTGGAAGTGCTCCTCTCAGTCTGCAGGAAGTGTCACAATGACACCCTAGTTTTTAAAAAGCTCTTGGTGAAAAGTGACTCTCTGGCAGTTCGTGCATTGCTCCTCTATCGGCTGAAATCCTGTTGCGTAGTTATGCCAGCAGAAGGAAAACAATATCACTCGCAGTGGCCAATTGCTGCTCATCAAAGAGTCTCTGCCTAGTCACACAGCACGTCACCTAATGGGCATACAATGAAGATTCCAAGCAGTGGTTTTGAATCAGTGGCAAAGTACTGTGTTAAGCTGTTTCCCCTCTGCCTGTGTACCTGTGCAGAAGGATTTCAGCTGTTAAGTGTGAAAAAGCAACAGTCTCAAAGAAAAAAATGCAGTCCTAGTACCACTATACTCCACCACACTCTAATTTATTCTTTTATATATTGTGTTATGTTTCCTGGCTGAAATCTTCTGGCTTCGTTTAGTAAGTTGCAACTAGAATAGGCAAGTTTTCTTGTTCTTTTCAATGTGAAATCAAACAGAAGCTGAGTGATAATGATAAGTGTCCCAAAATTCCACCTACACATAACTAGGGTGCCTCCGAAAAAAATGCTAAACCCTAATTGGCAATTACTTATATGAGCTGCATCAAAGCCTTATGTTCACATCTCCCTTTTCCTGCCCTGCTCTGGAGCAGAAATATCCACATCAGCTTTTAAACTAACCATAGTTTCTTGTTACACCGAACTCTTTGAAACTATGGCTAGTTCAAACTATGTTTCTTTTTTTAAAAAAGAAGCCAAGATCTAGCTGTGTTTCATGATTCCGGCTAGTTCACTGACCAGTGTTTAAGCTAACCACAGTTTATTGAATTTGGACATGACAGGAAACTGCAATCAATTTTTTTTTATTTTTTTTATTTATTTTTTTTACTTACTGGTGTTGTTTTTCTTTTACAGGTATGATGATCAAATCTCTGGTGATAAGGAAAAATACACAAGGTAGGCGTTGAGAGAAAAGCAAGGGATGATCCTGCCCTCAGCAAGAATGTCCTGTTTCTGTCCTTGCTTTTCCTACTTTAGAGCGGTCCTTGCTCTCGTTTTCTCTTTTGGTGATCCCAGTAATGGCTGATCCATAGACAGCAGGGCCAGGTAGGAGCGGCGAACCATCAGGACGCTGCAAACGTCAACTGATCGTTTCTGTAAAATGGAAACAGGGTCTGTTTGGGAACTAGTTTCAGAGGCAGAACACTTGACTGGGAAGAACGCCAACGGTAGAAACACGAGGTCGATATCCAGCTATACGGTGGGGGCCAGCAAGCTCACCCATTCTTCCTCAAGCCATCATCATCATCATCACATCATCATCATCATCATCATCATCATCATCATCATCATCATCATCATCATCATCATCATCATAACAACAACAACAACAACAACAACTCACACAGTACTATAAGCAGTTGTGTATATCTCAGAAATCACACCATCAGAGCTACAAAAAACAGCAATATTAGGAACAGCATACACATTTAACAGATACTTAGGTTTTTGGTTAAAACTTGTAGCTGTTATAGAATACCAGCCCATGTTTTTATAATTTTGGCTGTGCCTGGTGTTTTTGAATACTGCTACTGCAGGTGACAGCCACTTGCGATCTGCGCCCATGGTTGGAGACTTGTGCTTCCATCTGTAATGCTGTGCTGTTAAAAATGTCTATTGATTTTATTATAGGTTGCCCCCCTCCCCCCCTCCCCATATCCTTTTGTCAGTCCAAAGGCATCTTCCTTTTAAAAGGTGAATAGCTTACTGACACAGTGCAGATTTTACCATGAAAGGTCTTAGGCTAATTTCTTGGTATCCCCTGGTTGCTTTATTAATGCTTTGTTTTAAAGAAGGACAGACAAGAGGGAATGGGGAAGACACCCCCCCATCCTTAAGACCTTACAGGTTTTCTGTTAATTAGAGGAGATAATCCAGGGCCAAACGAACCAGGGGTTGGAAATGGCTTTGTTATGTTATGTTACGTTATCTGTTTTCTTTTCCCCTTTTGTTTTGAGATTTGGGCTAGCATTCCCAGAATCTCTGCGCACCCCTGGCTGGGGCATTTCGATAATTATAGACCGAAACATAAGCTTTTCCAAGCTGGAATGAAACTAAAACCCAAATCAATGTATCCTGGCCTCTTTAAGATGAACAACTTTGTTTTCCTACAAGGTTTCCCTTTCTCCATGATGAAAACCCATCTCCAGACCTGTTAGAAGCCAGCTTTGTATATTCCAGTCCGTTGGTTTGGAAAGACAAACTCAGGGAAACACCCAGGGAGCAGCCCGGATAGATAGCAGAGCAGACATTAAACAGAAGAGAAGGGCGGTCAGAAAATGGAGATCCATGGTTAAAAGGTCAGGGCGTCCGGGTGGACTCAGTCAAATGTGCCCTGTTGATCCTAGGAGGGTGTTGTAGAGGTACAATGCCATCACTGAGAGGGGCTTTTAATCATAGAATCATAGAATCATGGAATTGGAAGATGCCTCTAAGGCCATCGGGTCCAACCCTCTGCTCAGTGCAGATCAAAGCAGATCTGATGGATGGTGGTCCAATTTTCTCTTGAAGGCCTCCAGCGTTCAAGCGCTCACCACCTCTGAGGTAATTGGTTCCATTGTCATACGACTCCAAGAAGGTTTTCCTGATATTCAGTGTAAATCTGGCTTCCTGTAGCTTGAGCCCGTTATTACATGTCCTGTACTCTGGGATGATCAAGAACAGATCCTGCCCTCCTCCTGTAGCTTGAGCCCAATGTTGTGTGTCCTGCACTCTGGGATCACTGAGAACAGATCCTGCCTCTCCTCTATATTTGCAAACATCCCTCTAACGTCTGACAACTTCTAACTTCTCCAGCAATGGGCCTTAGATTAATATCTTCCTTGTTGGACGGGTTCTGACGTATTTCCTCCTCCACCACCACCAACACATACTTGGTTTGTTGCCATCGGGAGCAGTACGGGGTGTCCCAGGGCCAAATGCCCACCTGGCTTGGGACAGCCATCTCTTCACCTTATGGATCTCCCAGCTGGTTTTGCTAGGTGAAGAAGGAGCAGGCAACACGCTGGACTGCAGTTGATGTGTCCAGTGCTTGCGCCAGAGATGACACTGGTGAGCTCATTTTCCTTTGCGGTGGGCTTTGGCCGACCCCTTTACCCTTTACACTGAGTCCTCGGATGCTGCCACTGCAGCCGACGAGTCCTTCCCCCCCCCTTTGCACATTTATTACAGATTGTGTCTGCTAGCTGATCGTAGGCTTCGCACAATCACATGTTCAGGGATAGCAGGGGTGTGGTCCTTTTCTCTGTCCCTACCTGTCTGTCTTTCTGTCCTCTCTCTCGCTTCCCTCTTTCAGCTTCTTGCAAAACTACAATGAATTGGACAGAAAATAAATGGTACCCAACCTGCTCATCTCCATTGTTTGGGCCTTCTCTGTGCATGATTCATAGCAGAATTTGGCATTTTTGTTGTTGTTGCAAAAGCTGTGTTGCAGTCATGGGCATGTTCGTAGAGCACAACTGAAGCGTAAACGTCATCCTTTTCTTGGCAAAATCAGATATCACTGAGAAGATGGACTCAAGTGAGGGAAGAGCCTCCTGGGTCTTCTACAGAAAAGGGACGTGGCAACGCATTGTGTGTGGAATGGACGAATTCCAAAAAACGTCTCATTCCCCTCTCAAAAATTTGGGTGCTCTCCTTGAAACACTTGGGCTCACCTGCTTTCCCAATACCAGAGCCTAGCAGCACGAATATTTTGGATCGTAGCCCTCAGGAATCCCCCGGCTTTCCTCTTTCCCTGTTCCGCTGGGATCTTCCTTGGAAGTGGGACGTGACCTAAAGGTGCAATTTGTTGCCTCAGTGCAGAGCTCCGCGTGTACTCTGAGGTTCCCATGGAGCTCCTCCGCCTGTAGAGAGCGACCCTGTTGACGCCAGTGGAGGAGAAAGATCTGCCTAGACCAGATTAGGTGAACGTGGACCTCCTTCCTTCATTATCGCTTCAGGCTTTGTGGGCAGGGGAGCTCCATGTGAGGTCTTGGGCTTGTAAGGAATCAACCGGGAAAGGGGCTCCCTTGCTTTTTATGCCCCCCCCAGCCAGCAGAAAAGAGGGGACAGTCATGGTTTCCCTACCAATGTGTGCCTGTAACCCTTTTAGAGTCAACGACTCCGGTGGTTCCCAACCTGGGGTTCTCAGAGGTTCTTGGACTACAACTCCCAGAAATCCTGGCCCACACAGCTCGTGGTGAAGGCTTCTGGGAGTTTTTGTTCAAGAACATCTGGGGACCCAAGGTTGGGGACCACCGCCCTAGTCCATGCAGAGAAGTCAACTGGTACTGCAGTTGATTCTACCTTGAGCACAGTTGATGAAGCCACCCTTCAAGGACTCATTTGGGCACAATTTAGATCAGTGGTTCCCAACCTTGGGCGCCCAGATGTTCTCGAACTACAACTCCCACAAGTTTTCACCACGAGCTGTGCCGGCCAGGATTTCTGGGAGTTGCAGTCCAGGAACTTTGGGGTTATCCGTGGTTGGGAACCACTGAACGAACCAGCCTGCCCATCCTGACTCCCCCTTGTGACAATTTCCAAGCACCGCATCTTTGACCGACAGCATCTCCCTTTCTCTCTCGGTTTGCCCCTCCTGACGTGTGCTTAGGGAGAACCATAGTGAGATCGAGAGACGCCGGAGGAACAAGATGACGCAGTACATCACCGAGCTCTCTGACATGGTGCCCACCTGCAGCGCCTTGGCGCGCAAACCTGACAAGCTGACCATCCTGCGCATGGCAGTGTCCCACATGAAGTCCATGCGGGGCACGGGGAACAAATCCACCGACGGAGCCTATAAGCCTTCTTTCCTAACAGAACAGGTGGGTGGCTTTATCTAAGGGGGTGGCGGCCGTGGGGGCCTGTGAAGGGAAAGGGGTCCGTCCCGTGCTAGGGTGGGAAAGCACTGAAGAGGAGGAAAATTCCATTTTTAATTTACATATTTATTTATTTTTTGCTCTGCAGCTCTCAACCCCCTAGTCAGTGGTTGGGGGATGCTGGGACCTGTGGTCCAAAATCTAATACCCCTAAGATCAGTTACTCTGGATCTTTCACCCCTCTTATCAGCTGGCCTGCCTCAATGGGGCATCCCGACTCATCTAATAATGGGATAATAGAGATGGGCGCAGACTGTTGGCTTGGCCGTTGGGCACAATTGGTTTCCTGGCTGAACACCTGATCCAAGGTTTAGCACCCTGCTGCCTTCAGCAGGCACCCACTTGGCAGCATGAGCCTGACCTGCCTCCCCTGGGCACTGCCCTTAGTGGGCAGCTGCTGGAGGGGATAGGGCTGAACGGCAGATCAGCTGTTCAGCTACGAAACGAACCATGCCGAACTGCTGAACCGGTGGTTTGTACCCATCACTAGATACCGACATTAATATTGTTTGGGGTGGAACCGCCATATTATTGGAAAATACGTGGTGGCTGCTATTGAACACAGTAGCTCCATATTCCTTGTTCCACATCCCTCTCTCATCCTCTCTCTTCGTGACATTTATTGCTGATCTTGTTCTGGTTCCGGTTATTACTCTAGTTGTGAAACCTTACAGATGAGCAAGTTTTATGCAGCATACAATAATAATAGTCAAAAGATGTTTGGGGAATGCATCCCGGTTCAAAAGCTGCAAGGTTACTATATAACGAGAGTTGTAAAACGGCCCTTGATCCCTATTGAGACCAACCAGGAGGAAGAACAATATAGTTTGAAAAAAATACTTAAGACAGTAAAAACTTGACAGGTAATACAGAGAAAAAAGAAAAGAAAACCCAGCAAGAAACAAAACCAGGTTAATCTCCTGTTGTTTTGTCAAACCTGCTTTGAACAAGAATTGTAGCTAAATATGTTGTGGCTTTGTGAAAAGCTCTAGGTTGTTGCTTCTCCGTTAGGTCCTGAAAATGAGAACTGCTGGAGCTTCTGCGTGTGCTCAGAAGTTGTTTGTGCATGCGCAACACTGTGTATGTGTGAATGCACCTTTGTTGTCGTTGTTATGTTCTAAGTCCTCCATACAGAGCATGGTACCATAGTCTCTCGAGACTGAAGGAGGCCTAATCTAATCTGTTATGAAACTAGTGCTCAAATGAACAGGTGGGTATGAATGGACACAGTGAGACAAGATAATTGGATTTGCACCAATTCCTGAGAGTTTTCCATCTTGTTTACCCATAATACTTTGGATGTTGTGTTCTGGAGTTGAGAGATAGAATGATGCGAGGTGGAGAAGTTTCCTGTGAATCTCAAAATCTAAAGCTGAAGAATAATTAAAGAAAGGGAAATCCAAATGCCAATAAGGAGGAATAACAAAGTCAAATGAGTAATTGTGTGTCGTCAAATCAATTCTGACTTACGGTGACCCTTTTTAGGGTTTTCAAAGTAGAGAACACTCAGAGGTGTATTACCATTCCCTTCCTCTAGGGGCGCCTTGGAACTGTGCAGCTTGCCCAAGGCTCCACAGGCTGGCTCCACCCACAGGAGGCCCGGTGGAGGAATCGAAATCCCAGCCTCTGGCTCCATAGCCAGGTACCTAACTCATTGAGCTATCCAGCCGGCTTGATGCTATTACAGTTTTTATGCATACATTGTGAAACAAAATCTGGACTTGGGAATAAAAACGAAACAGAAATGTGTGGCTGGAATAAAATAGTAATAATAGCCTAAAAACTGCAGAGCTGGAAGGGACCGTATGGATCATTGAGTCCAATCCCTCTTCAGAAGACACAGTGGGGAATCGAACTCCCAACCCAGACGCCTAAACCACTGAGCTCGCCCAGCAGTTAGACCTACTGCACAGCCCTTCTTAAAGAGCCCCGTGTGTTTGTCTGGCCCAGACTCCTTAAAGACTTGTGTTTGTTTTTACTTTTCTTGGGAAGGAACTGAAGCACCTTATCTTGGAAGCAGCCGATGGTTTTCTCTTTGTGGTTGCCGCTGAGACCGGCCGCGTGATCTACGTGTCGGATTCCGTCACCCCTGTCCTGAACCAGCCCCAGTCCGAATGGTTTGGCAGCACCCTCTACGACCAGGTTCATCCGGATGACGTTGAGAAGCTGAGGGAGCAGCTGTGCACCTCTGAAAACTCCATGACCGGTCAGTTTCGTTTTTTCTTTCTTTTCTTCTATTTATACCCGGCGTCTCTCCCAGGAGAGGAGATCCGCTCCTCATAGAGGAAAATAAGGGACACGGAGTTGGAGCATTCAAGGAACCAAAGCTAGATCAAGGCCAAAGAGACATCTTTCCCCCCACACTTTCTTCTAGAGATCAAAATGTGCCGCCTTGTAAGATTCCAAGGATCCCCTGAATCCGGGTGCTCCAAGATAATTTAAATATATATATAAGATTCTTTGTGCTCTCCCAATTTTGCTGTTTTCAGCCTTCCTGACCTGCTTTAGGCTTAGCTGATTTTTTTCCTTCAAAGGTTTAAGATAATGCACACACTCTATCACATATAAAGTCTAAAAAAGCAGTCCTGTAAACATGGTAGAATGGCCCCCCATGCTCTCAAGCCAGTGGGAGGCCTCCAGCTCCCAGAAACTCTCCACCCTTGATCTAAAGCAGTGGTTCACCTCAAGGCAGTGGGAGTCTTTTCTCCATCTGTTTTAAAAAAGAAATTGAGGGTAAGGGCAGAGTGGATGAATCCTCTGAGCTCTGGGAGAAGTCAGTGGTAGGCCTCCAGTTCCCAGAAGCTCTCCACCCTTGATCTAAAGCAGTGGTTCCCAACCTCAGGTAATCCAGGTGTTCTTGGACTGCAAATTCCAGAAGCCTTCACCACCAGCAGTGCTGGCTGAGGTTTCTGGGAGTTGCGGTCCAAGAACACCTGAGCTACTTAGGTTTGGGAACTATGAATCTAAGGGCACTCGTTGATTTCATGGCTGTCATTGTATTGACCAAGTTTATACTTCTGGGCAGTAGGTCACAGTTTTCACCCATCTCAATGATGGTCTCAGTTGAAGACTCCCTAACATGGCCTTTCCCAGCTTGGTATTCTTTGAAAGTTGGGGACTTCAGCACCCATGATCCTTCACCAATGGCTGTGTTAACTGAAATGATGGGACCAGCAGTCTGAAATATCTAGGTAAGCCCCAGCTTGGGGGGAAGCCTACCTTATTGGCTCAATCCTATTCATGTCTGCTCAAATCTTAAAAGGCTCAATTTAGTTTAATGGGACTTAGTTTTGAGTAGGCTTCCAGTGTCAACTCTAGGTCCATATTACACACCAAGTTATCTGTAGGGTGGGGTTGAGAGTGAGGGAGTCTGTAAACTAGCCACATTGCTTTGAAGAAAAACAAGCCAACTAATCCAGAATGTCCGAATTCTTGCTCATCATATCTAGATATAGAGATGCTCCCACACCCACTCCAGGTCACTGTGGCCTCACGTTGACCCGTTGTCTCTCTTCTTGATTGTGAAAAATTAGACTTGCCTTTCTTCCCATCACCCCTTTTGCTGTTGTTGGTTTCATCAGCGACCTTACCTAAAACGAAACCCTCGTTTTTCTAATCACATTGTTGTTGACAATGGGTGCCCTCTGGTTGTTTCTGGCTTAAAAACGGATGGTGTATAAAATCTTTTCACCTTGCCTTTCTCCTTATAGTGAGAATTCAAGGTGGCTTTATATCATTAGGAACCATGAATCAATGGATGATGAAAAGTGTAATGTGTAGTTTGGCCAAAGACAAGCCAATAATGCAGGCAATGTACGCTGCCTGAATTTGGCCTCTTCTCTTGCGATTTTGATGGAAATAGAGATCAACCAGATCAAGACACATGTCCTAGTTGGCGGTATAATGCTGATGTAGGTAGTTTATTACTGCTTTTTAGCTTAGCCACAGCTTCAACTTTATCTTGGCTGCTCCTTATTGTTCAGCTTGGCTGCGTAGCTGAATTTCCATCTTTTTGTTTATATGTACATGTTTTCTTCTGCCTTCCTGGATTTTTTTTCCCAGCGTTGTTGCTTTCTTCTTCTTTTCATCTGTGCTTCCACATTCTTTTCAAGGGTTTCACATCCTTTCCCTTATGTAAGTGATTCTGAAGTCAAGGCTGTTTTTCTTCTTTGAGAAAAGAAATCCATCACACAACCATAGGGAACTCTATAGCTGGCAAAACCTTGCAGGCTGATGGAAGGAAGGTGGCCTTTTAGACCCTAGAATGGGGGATTATACAATGGCGTGGAATGGATCAAGCTAGCCTTCATTACTTACAGTTGGGAACAGATCAACAGCAGACAAGACACACTGAACACCAATTGAGAACGGAGAGGGGAAAAAAGAGGTGGGAGGGAATGATGGAGTAGTGCTGGACAAATTGAAAAGTTCCTCCCAGACTCATCTACTAGAGGCAGCATGTAAGATTGTTAAGAAATCCAACGTAACATGTTAACCTTTTCATCTTCTTAATGAGCGACATAAAAAAGTCTACAGGTTCAAAGCAGTCCTCATAGCCTTACCAGCTAAGGTAACCTTGATGATCTGTCTGTAATGTGTGTGTGTGTGTGTGTGTGTGTGTCTGTGTGTGCCCACATGCATCTGGGGGGGCGCATTCTCCACCTCTGCCCAGAAACACATAGCTGCTCATGGTGGAAAACCACATCTTACGTAGATGGTCTTCCATTCAATTCCATCTCCTCAGAAAATAAGTTCTTGGCAAAAGACTTCTGGGTGGTTTTACAGCAACGGCATACCTCCCTGAGATCTTGGAAAAGTTACTTTTTTCAATGACCCCCTCTATGCAAGTGGAATGTTCTAGGAACCCAAGGTCTATGGAAACCGTTTCCCCAACCTCTGAATACCTTCACACAAGAAGCTTGCCCAAAATGGGAGACATTTATTTATTATTATCATTATTATTTCACTCCACCTTTCCTTCTCCTTAAAAGGATCCAAGGTGGCTTCAACTCTGAATTCCTTCACACAAGAAGCTTGCCCAAAACGGAAGTGGGAGATATTTATTTATTATTATCATTATTATTTTACTCCACCTTTCATTCTCCTTAAAAGGACCCAAGGTGGCTTTTAGGAGTGAACAAACCAAAACAGCAACCGCTCCTTGATTCCAACAGATAAGGCCATGTTTGAAATGCGTTCGCGGGTAGCGCTGTTTTATGTCTTTTTTTAATCTGATTGTTCCAAGTGGGTTTTTTTTTCTTGTGTCATTTGGCCAGCATGCAAGAGAGAAGCAGGGTTTACAATATCAAATAAAATTATGGCGGGAGGGGAGACTGGTGGAAGGAGTGAAAAGCCCAGAACTCAGCAAACCAGTTAACCAGCTCCAGGACCTTTCCACTTTTCCAAGGAAAAAAGTTGGTTGTTTTCTTTTTGTCTCTTTTTCTGAGAGAGAGAGAGAGAGAAGAAAAGGTCAGCAGAAGCCTTGAAAGAGAACAAGCTGTGGTATCTCCAGCTGTCATGCTGGAATATAGAAAAAAGATGGTGTGTGTGTGTGTGCTGCTGGAGTATAGAAAAAAGATGGTGTGTGTGTGTATGTGTGTGAGAGAGAAGACTAGCGCTCCAGAGCAGCTGGAGATTTATATTTCTTCAAGAATAGCGCTCCAAAGCAGCTGGAGATTTATATTTCTTCAAGAAGCAGCAAATTGGTAGAAAAGCCATTTTTTGAGGAACCGAAAGGACTTCGGGGTGGTGAAAAGTTGTTCATTTAACCCCTCGGTTCTTTTTTTCAAGCATCTTCCCTGCCTGCCCCTCAGCTTTAGCAAATTCTTCTAGGAGATGCATCTGAAGTCCTAGAGGACAGTGGAACAGCGCATCCGTTTCATTTTATTGATTTGCGCTCCTTAAAAAGGCAAAAGGAAAAGGGAAAAAATGAAGAAGGCAAAAATGCTGAGGGGCCTTAAAGACAAAGGGCTGTATCTTAATAGGAGCTTTTGTGGGCACATCCACTTCCTCAGACGTAAGAGCTGAACAGCATGGAAGCATTTATACATGACCCACAAAACAGAGGCTGTTTTGGCGCTCCTTTAAAAAGTACCCTTTCCATGGCTTCCAGCACCTTAAAAACTAAAATTTCAGAAACAATCCATAAAACTAGGCATCTTTTGCCTTGAGAAAAGAAGACTGAGGTGAGATAATATGATAGCACTTTTCAAATACTTGAGAGGTAGCCCTACAGAGAAGGGCCAGAATCTGTTCTCCATTATGCCAGAGTGAATAATAACAGGCTTAGGCTACAGGAAACCAGATTTAGTCTGAATATCAGCAAAAACTTCCTAACTGGTAGAGCAGTACGACAACGGAACGCATGGTCTCGGGAGGTGGTGAGCCCTCCATCGCTGGAGGCATTCAAGAGAAAGCCGGATGCCCATCTGTAGGATCTGCTTTGATTTGGATTCCTGCCTTGAGCAGAGGGTTGAACTCGATGGGCATGATTCTATAAAGACAGAATGCATGAATGAGAAAGAGGGAGAGAAAGACCGGGATGGAGAAAGGGCCTGGTCTCTTAGGGCTGAATAGTGCCACATGACGTTCATCCATTGGTTTCAACCAGCTAATACCAATTGCTGATTTTCAAGAACTAGCCAAATCATTCTAATCCTATGATTTATACCATCTGGATTAATTTGGACTCAAATGGTGTGGTGTGGTGTGTTCTTTTGGTCAACCCTTCCCTAATCAAGCTTGCGGCTTGCACTGTCTCCTCCGAGAAATGTTGATAGGGTTGAGTTTCACAAAAACAGATGAACAAAGACAGAAATGATCCGTGTCTTCTCCTCTCTTTATGCAACGGAAAAGCATGACGTGGCAGATTTAACCAGCCTTGTTTTTCTTGGCAGGCGCCTCACGGCATTTGCCATTCATGCATTTACATGCGAGGTGAAATAACAGGAAATAGTGGTTTTGAAAATAATAATAATAATGAGAAGAATGGAAACAGTGATAGAGTGTGGCGTATTTTCACGAGGTGCCTTTTTTTATAGGGTTAAAGAGCATATATTCTCTGGTGACGCCACGCAAGAGAGTGGCCTGCTTTAATAATATCATCTGAGCCTTGTCAAACCGCAGGGAATTTGCAGCCATTAGGATAAAGAAGGAAAAGCTGCCATTCGGAAGCCATAAGATCCGCAGATGTGGCTGCCTTCACCA